CCAGCCGGTGCGGCCGGGCCAGCAGACGGGAGAAAGCTGGCAGCCGCCAGGAGGGCGTGCGCTGGATCCGGCTGGGAAGCAGCACAAGGCTGCTGCTGGACTCAGAGGAGCGGCTGTATTTGCATTCCGGCCGGAGCGGAGTCCCCCCCTTCTCCGCCTCCCAGCCGTCCCGAGTCACAGGGGAACAGAAAACACGTTCGTGTTAGTAGCCGATGGCTTTTATTGTCACTCTTTACGCAGATCTGACACATATACAGCGATGCTTTCACCGTACGAAGGACAAGGACTGCAAAGAGAAGTACCTTGCCCAGCCAGTCCACCCTCGCTGCTGCGACTGGGCTGGCACTTGATGGTAGGAAGGGGGAGCCGGGGGGGGATAAGAAGAAAAAAATTAAATTCTCGTCCGAACTCATTTATTTAAATAAATATAAATATAATTTTTATATAAAACTATTCACAGACAAACAACCGTCCCAAACCCAAACGGGCGATTTTTATGTCATTTCTTAATTTTGTTAATAAGTCCATCCAGAAGGTTCTCTACAGGTTTTAGCTGTAAAAAAAGTCTCGCCTTTCGATTTTGAATGTGTTTCTTTTTTTCCTTTAAATTGCCTGGGGGGGATACAGAGGAAGGCACCCCGGGCCATGCGAGCCTTGTCCCATGTTACATTTTAGAAAAAGCAGGTGCACTCTCCTGGGGTTACATAAATAACGTTTCGTTTGAACTCCCATGACTAAAACATTTACATTCCGAAAATATATTTATATATATATATATCTTTCTATTACTGCGAATGGATGACAATTAACCCTCCGCGGCGGGGGGTGCCAGCCCGCCGCAGGTCAGCGGTCCGTGGGCAGCGGTGCCAGCTGTGCCAGCTGTGCCGCCACCTCGCTCCGGGCTGGGGCCGGCGGCGGGAGCCGAGCTCCGAGCCGGGCTCATAGCGGGGAGATCTCTTTATCCTCGGTAGCCGATGAGGGGGATAGAGACTCTTCATCCTCCGACCGGGGGTAATGGCCCTGGCTGGTGCTGCACTTGCAGCCCCCGTGCGAGTTTCGCTGAGTGCCTTTGCCTTCTTTCTTGTGCTTCACCCTCCTGTTTTGGAACCAGATTTTCACCTGCTTCTCGGACAGGTTCAGGTACGTGGCTATCTCGATCCTGCGCAGCCGGGACAGGTACATGTTCGAGGAGAATTCCCTCTCCAGCTCCAAGAGCTGGGTGCTGGTAAAAGCAGTCCTCATCCGTTTCCCATTTTGAATTTGGCTGGATTCGGACCCTCCTGGACGGGAGAGAAATGCGAACTTCAGCGGAACAGGGAAAAGGGGGGGGAGGGGAGCTAGAGACAGACAGACTTACAGACAGAAAGAGAGAAGACTTTCCCCCAGCAGCTTCCCGACCCGGGGCAGCCGCTCTTCCTTGGGAGCACCCCTTCTCCCGCTGCCCCCCTTCCCCGGCGGCCGCAGGGCTCCTACCCATGCCGAGGCAGTGAAACCTCCGGGGGTCGCTGACGCTGTAGGCGGTGGCGCCGCAGGCAGGGGGGTGATGCGCAGGGTGTCCCAGGGCGGCGGCGGCGGGCACCGAGGCTGCGGGCGGCGGCTGCTGCTGCGGGTGGTG